AAAAAAAAAAAAAAAGGAATAATTACAAAAAGGAATTACTATCCACCTTCTATATAATTTTTGAATGTGATGGACTTTAGAGGCAGACTCGCATGCTTTAAAATCCTATCTGTCATGCTTTTATACTTTGGATTGATACATAATTAGGCCCAAATGTCATGTCAAATGTCCATTAGACATGGTTTATTTCATGATACATTAAATATTTTATTTTATTAAACAATCATTATTTATTTCATTTCATATTTTTCTTCTACAACAGTACACAAAAGAACTTCGACAAACATAGATTCGACCTGCCTTGAGCTTCTAGCAAATTGAATGCCCTTGAGACCTGAAAAAACTCTCATGTCGGAGGGCTTTTCTGGTGAAGCCTCCAATGCTTAAGTTAGCACTTGTAGAAAATAAAGTGCAGTATGTATGTAGAGAATATATATAGAATGTAATATGATATGTGCATACCTCTCTCCCTTATATATATAGGGAGATAATACCTTGTTGTCGAAAACTGTCCAAGCTGCACGGACTGTCAGTTCGTACTATCCGATCTGCCTGAACTGCCCAATAATATTAGGCCACGTGGCTCTACCCACGTGTGGTCCTTATTATGTTAATATTTTTCCTTATCCATTAATATTTCTCATTAGACCGTATAATCGTGCGACCAGCTCGAACCCTGCTGAGGTAGAATGTGCATGTTCCGAGCCTAAGTGTTGTCCTTCTGGTCGGTCATATGTCCAACCTTATCTTCAGGTCGAGTTTGTAACATGTCATCTGAGGGCCCTAGCTCGGCATGTCGTAGTTCCCTTGAACCCCTCATGTCTTCTCGTCTTGAAGATTCATTGTTTCGCAATGGCGTTCGACCTCCGTTCCACCTTCTTGCGGTTATGTTCGACAAACCGGTTCACTTGCGTGATTGGCTTATTTAGCGGACTTTCTCTACATGGTGTGGTATTTAATAGGGCGCTACTATTTACCGCCCCCCTTATTACTAGTCACCGCCCCCCTTGGACGA